CATCAATTAACTTGAAATCAAACCATCGTCACATAATGTGAATAGTGAATGTACTATTATTGACTTAAATCTAACTGATTCAACAATATAATACCTTTAGTACATTTTAAAATCAGAAAACTCATTAGAAAGGATAAGATTTAGTTTCTTAGATGTGAAATTCTTAATTCTTGCAATTTTTTTTTAGAAAGCAGAAATGGCAGTTATTAGTCACAGCTATTCATGATCATTCTAAGCCAAAAACATTGCCACAATGCAACAAGAAATCCCAGAAATGTAATACGGAATGCACCAGACCCTAGAACTCTTTGACCTTATTAATTACCAAAAATAGGAGACAAGTTTCATTGTGTTATGGTTTCACTTGCAATACAATCCCAGTATGGACTTCAATAACAGTAAAAGATGTATAGTAAAAGAGTAAGCCCCTAAAGTACCCTCCTCTATTTTTTTTTTTTTTTTTTGAGTTGGAGTCTCACTCCGTCACCCAGACTGGAGGGCAGTGGCCATTCCCGGCCACCGCAGCCTTGACCTGCTGGGCTCCGGCAATCCTCCCGCCTCAACCTTCCGAGTAGCTGGAACTACAGGCGCGTGCTACCACGCCCGGCTAATTTTTTGATTTATTGTAGAGATGAGGTCTTACTGCCCAGGCGGGTCTCGAACCCGTGAGCTCAGGCAATCCACTCACCTCAGCCTCCCAACGCGCAGGATTACAGGCTGAGCCACCGAGCCTGGCTCCTCCTCTATTTCTTATTCCAATTTTGCTGACCTTATGACCTAATACACTGGAAAAACAGTGGGTACACTAGGCCCCCTTATTTGTGGTTTTGCCCTTCTAGGTTTTAGATACCCGAGGTCAACCATGGTGTGAAAATGTGAGTATAGTACAATAAGATATTTTGAGACAGGAGAGAGAGTAATAACACTATCATATAACTTTTTTTTTTTTTTTTGAGTTGGAGTCTCTGTCTCCCAGACTGGAGTGCAGTGGCCGCTTCCGGCCACCGCAGCCTCGACCTGCTGGGGTCCGGCGATCCTTCCGCCTCAGCCTTCCGAGTAGCCGGAATTACAGGCATGCACTTACCACTCCCGGCTGGTTTTTGATTTATTGTACAGATGAGGTCTCGCTGCCCAGGCGGATCTCGAACCCGCGGGTTTAGGCAATCCACTCACTTCAGCCTCCCAAAGGCGCGGGATTACAGGCTGAGCCACCAAGCCCGGCTCATATAACTTTTATTAAAGTACATTGTTATAGTTCTATTTTCTTATTGTCATTAGCCTCTTATTTGCTAATTTATATTCAAACTGGATTATAGATATGCATGCATACAAAAAAACAAAATATGTAGGATTAGGTAGGATATGTGGTTTCAGGCAACCATTGGGTTCTTGGAATATAATACCACAGATAGGGGGCTATTGTAATTCTAATTTTTTAAATGACTGCTTTATTGTTTTTTCTTCCAGGAAATCTGTTTGTCCTGTGATTTAATTTCTTCTCCATGAGAGCAATAGGTCTAACCACTGCCTGTCTGGATGTGATCTTGGTGCTAAAATCCACAGTGTAGAAAGAAATTTACAGCACCTGGAAGGAGAAGCATGACTAAAAGAAACCAGCTAAGTGGCCCTGCACCCACTAGACAAAGCCTATACTATAAGGATGGTGGACTGGATTCAGAAAAAACTGGAAGACACCTCCCCACTGCCCACCTAAAGAAGGGGCTTAGGATTGACAGTGATGAGCAGCTGCTGTGGCAGTGACAAACTGGTGAGTTGAACAATGTATGTGATTTTGTTGGGCTTATTCCTGAAAACCGTAAATGATTTTTCCTGTCCTAACTGATTGAGTCTCCTGTGGTTTAGCCCACATGACTGAACCTTAGTAGTTAGTTGCACATTTCAATTGTTAAGCACAGAGATGGTGTCCTTGCTGACAGGCTGTAAGCCAACAGCATGACACTAACTCCTCGTTACGCTCTTAATACTCTTAATACAAGTTTAGCATGCTCCCTGTGCCACCCTCATTTCTTCCACACTCTTTACCTCTAGCTGTGACACCTTCCACTTCACTGATAGACTTCCCAATCTCCTCTACTTCTCACATTGCTGATGTGTTTTTTTCTGGTCTCACTCTTTCAAGCTTGGGATAACTCTTCATTTACTTTAGAGCCCAGAGAGAGACTCCTTCTTCCCTTTCCTTGACTACACAAGAGTTCAATTTTCATGGAGCTCCTATACTGGAAAACAGAGTTAGGAGCCTTAGCTGATAGCTTTTGCTCCCTGTGATCCAGGGACTGGGGTAACCATGGTGATATGGTGCCCCGGGGCTAGGTCCAGGTGAAGGAGAGGGCTTCTGGCCTTTGTGTGACTAAGTAATGCATGGCTAACAAAGCCATCACTTCTAAGAGTCAATTCTCTTCAGCTAGGGACTTGAATTTTCTTCACAGTTCAGTTTCATCTTTCAGATCTGGGTCTATTTCAATCTTTGTTTCTGACACACACACACACATACGATATGTATCTCTCATATAAGTGTGTATGTATGGATGTTTATATTATTAGGTAATCACACTCCTGTAATTTTCCCCCATGCACATAAAATAAATTTTGTATGCCGTTTTCTCCTATTAATCAGTTAATTTTCAGTGAACCTTCAGTAAGTAGACAGGAAACATTCCCTCTATCCTCCCCCAGCCAAGTTTGCTACAAAATAAAATAAAATAAAAATAAATTTTGTCTTGAGCGTTTCTTGTATATTGAAAGTAAGAATTAAGGATGGTTAATCTGCATTATGTTGTGCAAATTCTGTAAGTGAGTAATGGAGGAATGAAGCATTTTAGGAGGATTTGGCTTTTTGTTGTTAAAATGGTTTACTTTTCTAATTTAAAATAGTATAGAGACAACTCTGTAGGTAGTACAAAGATGAATTCAAGTAAGCAGTTGAGGACATGCCAGAAAAAGTGAAGTAATGCAAATGTAGGGGAGCAGGAGGTCGAGATGGGGGGAGCAGAAAGACTGAATTAAAGGAAACAACGATAAAGAAAAAATTGGCTGACTAAAAAAAAAAAAATCTTATTAAAGGGAAGGTGATAGAACTTGACGAAAAAGAAAGATTTCTTTATAACTTTGGGAGCTTAGTCAATAAATTTTCCCAAAGGTGACCTTTGAATGTACATTATAAACCCACGAACATAGGCCCAGGTAAAATAAAAATATCACCAGCTTGATCACCCCTATTAATCGTCCCGGTTTCTAAATTTTTTTTTTTTTTTTTAGTGTTCCACAAGGAACTTTTTTCAAGAAGAAGCACTTAGGCGTCTTTCTAGCTGGAAAGCCAAGCAGTCCATGGGAAATTGGAGGTCAGAAAGCTCAGGGTGCTGCTCTAGGCATTCTTTGTTAAGGGTCCTGAAATAATTAGCATGGGAATGATTTAGAGGTAGGAGAAAGTTGCTAGCTCCCTGAACTGTAAATCCAAGAACTCCCCAGGTTTTTAATTTCACATTGAGTTGGTTCTTATTTGACACTAATTCGATTGTTTCTTACATACGCAAAATGTTGCTTAAGTCAAAATGTGATCGGAGGTTAAAGGGAAAGACCCCTCATCAAAAAAAAAGTATGAAACCCTGCAGCCTTGAGGGTGGTGTTGCATAAAAGCCGCAGGGTGTTTCTTCCATTCTTCAGCGTTTTAAACAGTATTCTGGGTGTCCCATCAAATTTTTGAGATGGCGAAAGATCTGGAAACAGTCCCCCATGATCTAGTCAATAAATTCTTTCATAGGAAAGAAATATAAGAGATACAATGAAATACAAGAGACAGATAACCCGCCAAAGATACGCAGAACTAGGCAATTTACAGAATTTAAATTTCAATTTCAAGAGGGTGTTTGGTCCTCACGTATAGGGAGATAATATAGAGCATCGCTTTAAGAACCAGACAATGCCCTATTGTGCTGGATTCTTAGCCCGTAGATACTCAATAAATATATGTAGATCGACTAATTTCTAATTCAGAAATTATGCACCACTTTTCCTATTGCAGGCCCTAGGCTAGATCTTGCCGGGAACAAGGACATCTTAATACTCAGGGAGGAAATCCGATCCAACTAGGCATACTGCAAAGTGGAATGAATAAAGGTTTCAGCAAACACGCAAAGGTCGGAGCAGCAGAGATGCAAATACGGTTTAGTTCACATTTTGTGGGAGCTCTCTTCCCTTTTTGGCGCCTGGTTCCCTGAGCAAACGCCCTTCATAGGGGGCGCAAAAGCAGGCGAGTTCAGAGAATAGAAGCGATAACGGGCTTAGGGGAGAAGTGAGAAAACAGAGAAATCCGAGGGTTTTGGGGGCCCGTCCCGGTTTGAAAAGAAGACAAGTGCTTGTAGTCACTTCTCTAATCCTTTCTCCAAGTCCCTCAGGGTGTGAAATCGCCCGGGGAGGAGGGTGTCACATTGCGGAGAGAGGACCTCTCCTTGCTCCAAGGGGCACAGCCTAGGAACCTAGGAATCCACCTCTGACGCCTTCCAGAATCTACCCAAGCCTGTTCCCTAAGAAAAGAAAACTCGTGTGACTGGGGGTGGCGGGAGCGAGGGGACCCGGGAGACAGCGCGGCGAGGGGCTGGG